ACCAGCCCAACGCGGGCAGGGGAGGAGAAGCAGCCCAGGGCGAGATGTTGGCACCAGTCCCACCTTGCAAGAAGCGGGACTGGGGACGGTGACGGACGCATCGGTGCAGTTCTGTGCAGGTGTGAAATGACAGTCATGGGGCAGATGCTATGGAGAGTGAATTGGGGCTAACACAAGGAGCTGGACCCCGATAAAGCATCGCAGAGCCTGGTTACAGGGAGCGGAGCCGCAGCAAAGGGGGAAAAGCTGCCGTAGAAACGGGCAGGATGGAGCGAGAGCCAAACCAAGGGTGGCTTTTCCACTGGTGTCTGTGCTGGGAGACCCCTTCACCCTCCTCCCCGAGCCGGGTGAAAAGCAGATGCTGACAAAGAACAGAAATGTTAGGACCATTTCACAGGCACAGCTGGAAATTCAGCCCAGACACCAACCGCACCCAGGCAGGGAAGTCAAGCGCACAGCGCGCTCCTTAGGCCTTAGATCTTCCCAACACTGCATTTTGTAAATCCAACACTGGACCTTTTTTGTTTTCATTATTGCCTCTTAGGAAAAAAAAAAGGTTCATCAGACCTTGGCTTCTCCCTGAACTGGCCCCTAAGGAAAGGGAAATCCGCACTTCACTGCTTTATGGGGGAAAAACCCCCGAGCTTGCAGGCAGCTCAGCACAGTTACAGTCAGAACCAACCCACTCCTGGATTCAAAAGTTTCTGTAAAACAATTTCTAACAACAGCGGTGCTGTGCAACAGGGATGGCTCCGGCAAGCAGCGTAGTAAGCGATGTACAAACCAGCCTGCATCCCCCAGCCGGCCTGGGGAGGAGGGCAGGGACGGAGCAGGGTAGAGAGCAAACTGCCCTCCCTATTTAATGGCTCCAAGGAACAAAGGAGCCCAGTGCTATTATTTTATTCTCATTTTTTCCCTTGGTTCAATGAAGGTGACCAAAATCTCACACCCTGTTCCAAAAAATAATGACCGTGCTGGCCCCCTATCTACTTACAAAATATTTTCCTCTGCTGCTTCTATTTCAGCCTCCCAGGGACTTTCCTCGCTGCCGTCAGCCTGGCGCAGGTTATCTCAAGTTTTCCAGAGTCTTGGGGGGGGGGGGGGGCAGGAAAGCAGCTTCTTCCCCCTCTTCCTTAATTGAAATTAAGCTGAAAGCCTTTGATGCCGATGGCTTTGGCGTGACAGCTCCTGCCAGAAAACTGTTTTGCTGCTCGTCCCAGCGCAACCGGCAGAGCAGATCCAAGCTTGGGTGAAGCCTGCGCCCCGTTAAAGAGAATGAAGTCAGGAATTAACCAGGGATCCTGCTTTTCCTCCCCCTCTTCGCAGCTGATTACAAGGCAGCCGCACCCTCCTCTTAGATGTCTAATTTCACGCCGCCTGGTTGCTGAAACGTCTGCTGCATTGCAGAGAAGGCTGAGCAGCACCAGGGAGGGCTGCCCCATACCCAGGGGGTCAGGCAGCAGGTAAAGCAGGGACTGGAGGAAAAGAGGGGGGGGGGAAAAAAAAAAGAAAATAATAGCATCCCTTTTAAATCTACCATGAACATCCTGAGCTTACCCAACCCACATTTCAGGCTGTAAGGGCCCAGTTTTCTTTCTGTCACCGTTAATGGAGAGAATAAAAGCATCCACCTTCAAGCCCTCGCTGTGCTCAGGCCGTAACACAACGCGCGCGGGCTCCCTGCGATCCCACGCTGGCCTTGGGGTTTTAGGCACACGCGGGCCGAGCAGAGGGAGGTGGGCGGGTTGGCTCCGTCTTGCACCAGGCCAGAGATTTCATCTGCTCGTGCTGCAGCGACGACTGGCAGGGCTCCATCCTTCTCCTGAGAGGGGGCAGAGCGACAGCCCCGGCCCGCAGCGCAGGGAGAGGAGGGACTCGGACACGGCAGGCACCAGTGCC